GGGGGGACGGGAGAGGTGGGGTGGAGTTCGAAGTCCACACATCTTAAAGTTGCCAAGGTTGAGAAACACTGCTTTAAAGGTTTGTGAGGCAATATAATACCTTTTGTAGAAAAGAGTGGGTGGATTTAGGTATTGCACCAAGCCAAAATTGTGATTTGTTTGGTTTTAACCTAGCATTTCTGGCAAACCCAACCAAATGGGATTTGTTCAATAAATCACAGTTAGGTAAACCATGGCTTAGTATACTATCCTGCTAACAACTTGGCTGATACCACTCAAGGCTGAGCTGGGAGAGTTATCACACTCTTGTCTTTCATGCATCAACTGATAAAAAGTTGGGAGGCTTACATTTCCTATCTCTTGTTAGTCTGGCTTCACTAGTTAGAGAAGTTACACAATCCCATTTCCTGGTGAGAGTGAGCTGAGCCTGATCTCTCCTGCAAGGATGCGTGATCAGTTAGAGACCTAGAGCATCTAAGGCATTCTTGAATGTTGTGGGGGATTTTCCAGGCTTAATGCATTACTACTCCATTGAGGCCCTAGCCTCATTGCAAAACAGCAAGAGAAGAAGGAGCACTAATTCTAGTACCCCTGAGAGCCCTCTATGGTTATGGGAAGCCTGTAATGCCCCCTATTTGCTGACAAACCTCTGGGCATTGAAGCAAATGGCTACAACAGAGGTGCAGTTAATCTTGAAGAAAGTACTACCAAGTAACAATCAGAGTACAAATCACATGTATTGATTGCATAAAGGCAGTGGCAACACTTTACCCTCATATCTGCCCCAAATTAGGTGGCATGTTATTACAGAATCTGTGTAGGTTGTGGCAGGATTGTCTGGTTAGGGTTTGTGGGAAGAGTTTCACCTATTTCAGCCCAGGAAAGTAGAAAAGATGACTGTGGCTTAGCCAATTACTTATTCTCTCTTAGCTGCTGGACCACCTCAGAAACAGTTGGACTGCTGTAGTCCAGAATAAGGACAGAATGTTCCAGCTTTCTCCAGGGCATTCCGTTCCTGGAAGACTGGGCTTTGTACAAACATAGTTATTGTCCCCAGCAACTTTGAGAGTTTCGCAAATGCATTCTTTGCCCACTGTAGGATACTGAAAGCTAAACTAGATGGCCATATCCAGGTTCCGTCAACATTCTGCAGCAGATCCTCTAGAACTCCCATCAAAGTCCACGGTACCTGTGGCAGCTGGGAAGAATACACCAAATACAGTGAAGAAAGACTCCCCTGAGCTGTAGTCTGGCAGGGTGTTGTTCAACATAAGCTCCTCTGAATAGCCAATAAAACCATATTCTGTGGGTATAAAAGTAGGAGAAAAGCACAAGGTCAGCATCGTAGGGTGCTGTAATTTTGTAAAGCCCATAAAAGCATATTCAAAAGAAAACTATTGTTATATACCAATAATTTGGAAATTAACAGGACAACAGAAATGTACTGTACTTATAAGATGTTCTGTACTTATAAGATTGAAAAAAAGGTGCTTAAGAGTCCACTGAAAGATAATCTTTTCTGTCAATTATATA